TTCATCGTCTACGCAATGGGAGATTGAGTATTTAATTTTAAAGCTCTTTACTTCATTTTTGCTCCGATTTTACTTATAATTTTCATTAGAGTAAATTGGATTTGATTGATGATGGTGGAAATGCTTGAACTTGATTGCTCGCTTGAGTAGATAGAGCCGTTAGTTACTTGTTGATCTCGGTTAGACGACTAGGGTTAGCAATCTAATACTCGTAGCTCGTTTATTCCGTATGTCGATTGATTATCATCCCGTATTGGTCATGGCATGAGACTCCGGTGATCTAGATTGCGAAATGCTCGTCTTTTGATCTTGCTTTCTATTAATTGCTCGTTTTTAAGTGTTCAAGTAGTGTTAATCAACCATCCAATCAATTGTTTAGAATGTTTAGGATTTTATTTTCGTTTTTTGTGATTTGGACGATCATCTAGTAGACAAAGCTCCGAATAGCCTTCCTTCGAGATCGACCCGAGTCGGGTAGCTCGGTTACCCCTTGCCCATCAAATCTATACTAAACAAATGGCGTCGTTGCCGGGGAAGGAAAGTAGGACGCCTAGTTTGCTAGTTGATCGTCTCTTTTTCTCGTGTTTCTCTTGATTTTTGTGAACCTTGGTTAATTTCCGTGTTTCTCTTTATTTCTCTTGCTTTTTTGTCGCTCAATTGTTTTTGTTGCTTGTGTCTTTATCTCGTTTCTCATTGATACGTTCACCGGGTGTAGTTGTTGTTTTTGTTTATGCGAGGTAGACGAAGGCGCGCACCTCGAGAGGAGACTCCATCAATCGACCTTTTCGTTGAACTCAACATAGACGAGCCTCAACCCGAGCCCGAAATCGAATCAATGGCGGGACACGAAGACCAATTGCCACCACCACCTCCCCCGAACATGAGGTACTTTGCATGACCGATTATTGGAGACAACACCTCATGCCTCGTGCTCGGGGAGGCGGCCCGAAATTATGATCTCAAGACCATCCACCTAAACTAACTTCCATCATTCTACGGCTTAGCACAAGAAGATGCCCTCAACTTCATCCGAGACTTTTATGCAACCGTCAACACATTCCCACTCCAAGGCCTAACCGAAAACCAACTCCGGATGAGATGCTTTCCCTACACGTTGAAGGATCGAGCTAAGACTTGGTTTATGACGTTGCTCCCGAATTCGCTCACAAATTGGGAAGCCGTGTATGAAAAGTTTATAGGAAAGTACTACTCGCATCAAAAGACCACCGATCTCCGGACCCAAATGGCTAGCTTTAGCCAAAACATCGGTGAAACTTTTCACGAAGCTTGGGAGAGATTCAAGGGCTACCAACTCCAATGCCCACATCACTATTTTTGCCTCGGAGTTCTCAACCAATTCTTCTACAATGGGCTACATCAAACGCTCCAATACATGGTTGACCATGCGGCCGGGGGAGACATA